CCTTCTGAGTTTCTAGACCTTATGACCTGTTGTTAAAAGAAACACAACCCTGTCCCAAACATTTTTGAGATCTGTTGCTGCCATCAAATTCAAAATTCCAAAATCCAAGTTCAAACATTTTGTTACTTTGTATTTTGTACGACTCAGAAGCAGCACTGAACTCATAATACAGCTTCATTTATGGACTTCCCTACATAAAAATATAAAAGAACTTAAACTGGGGAGATACTAGAAAATTGCTAACTAGGAAGTTACAAAGATGAGACAAGGGACAACAAAACAAAGGAAGACTAAGACAATATATACACACAGATAACGAGGGAGGAGGAAACGGGCGGAAAACACAGCGAGAGCAAACCAGGAATAACATGACAAGGGAAGTTAAACTCAACACAATGCACACGAGACAAGAGGTTATCACAATAAAACAGAAAACATAACTACCTTTGAGACTGAGCCTAAAACATGCAAACTTTACAGGAACAGAAGACAAACATGGTGACAGAACATAGAGAGACGCAGGGATGTGATCCTTAAAGTTAAAATGGCCAGAAAACACACAGACAAACAACACCTTGGGTCAAGACCCAGGGATCATGACAATTTACAGCAAATGTGTCGAACTCCAGGCCTGTAGGGCCGGTGTCCTGCAGGTTTTAGATGTGTCCTTGATCCAACACAGCTGGTTCAAATTGCTAAAATACCTCCTCAACATGTCTTGTAGTTCTCCAGAAACCTGCTAATAAACCAGGGGTGGGCAATTCCAGGCCCCGAGGGCCGGTGTCCTGCAGGTTTTAGATCTCACCTTGGGTCAACACACCTGAATCACACGATTAGTTCGTTACCATGCTGGGTAATTACCCTCGAGACCTGGAGTTGCCCACCCCTGTAATAAACTAATCATGTGATTCGGGTGTGTTGACCCAGGGTGATATCTAAAACCTGCAGGACACTGGCCCTCGAGGCCACCCCTGATTACAGCATCCTAACAATTTTGCAATTGCAGAAAAGAGACAACAAAGTAAACTCGCAGGTAAGAAATGCAATCTTAGATGCCATTAGTTTTTTTCTTCAAAGTGAATGTGCCGAGGAAAACATGGAAATCTGGAATATGAAGCCATTAAAAATTAATCCTTTTTAAGGAAGCCTATCATGTAGAGTCGTCATTTAAAATAATCTTTGTGGTCTCTCAGTCTGGAACCTCACACCAACACACGTTATGTTTAGTTAAGGGGAGCCAGCGCCCTCTAGAGATCAGGAGCAGTATTACAGAAACCTCAAACCAAGCAGCTTGAGTTAGACTGGAAATGTAGAAGAAATGCTTAATAAAAGAGCAAATATGTAAGAATTTCTTGATTCCTTTTCTTTTTAAGTTATTCTGTTGAAATTTGCTGCTGTCGTTAGGATCCCTCTTGCACAGATGGCCTCACATTTGACATATACAGAGTATATATACATATACGTATACAGAGTTGCTCAGGTGCTGCTACTGTTGCTGTTACTGCAAAACAAGCCCAAATGATCTCCCCTCCCCCACCACACTGACAGTTCATATGAGGCATTTGTGCTGATATGCTTTGTTTGATTTTTGTTAAATTTAGATTTTTGTGGTGATGTTCTTTATGGCCAAAAATGGTCTCTTTGGGCTCATCTTGCAAAGGACATTGTTCCAGAAGTCTTGTAGTTTGTTCAGGTGCACTTTTGAAAAGTTAAGCCGTGCTGCCACGTTCTTTTGAAAAGAAGTGGCTTTAACCTGGCAACCTTTCCAAACACAGCAAACTTGTTCAGTGTTTTTCTAATTGTGCTATCATGAACTTGAACATTTATCATGCTGAACATTTTTCAGGCATGTATAGTCTGAAATGTAGCTCTCAGTTTTTTGTAGCTTCTCTGAGCACTGCACACTCTGACCTTGGAGTGAATTTGCTGGGACGTCGACTCCTGGGAAAACTGGCAACTGTCTTGAATGTTTTCCACTTGTGAATAATCTTTCATACTGTATAATGGCATAACGGTATAATGTATAACTTTAAATCATTTGGTAATGGTCTTATAACCCTTTCCAGATTGATGGGAAGCTGCAGTTACTACTTTAAGATCACCGATCACGAAGATCATATCAGATGTAACTTTATTTTCTAATGGAACTCATCAGGATGCATCAAGAGACAGAAAGGCATGAGCTTCATTTGTTTTTTGTCTGGATTATTAAAAACTCTTTTTATTGTTTTACTTCTTTTTCTGTGTAATCACATAGTCATCATTCTCCCACAACAAACTCAGTGTGCTGGAAACCCTTAATCATTTCATGATATAAGCACCTCTTTGTCTTGTGTTTACTTGTTTCCCCTTTACAAAACAGCTTTTTATGTCAGTATAACAATGGTAGCCCTGTTTCTCTGCTGTTCTCAGTTCAAAGTGAACTGAGTGGAAACCCACCTTATCTGAGCCAAAAGCCATGACGCTGTCATGTCAATCACTCCTATTCATTTCTCTAAAGACATGGCTCTGGGAGGAGTGGGTGGGGGTCAGGGGTGGGGGTGTCTCTTCCTGCTGGTTTGAGTTTCTTGAGATCTGATCTGTTTGCTCCAAAATGTACAGGTGACTTTCTTGTTACTATTTAAAGTGCTTTTGACCACTATTCATTTTTCCAAATGTCTTTCAGTTTTTCTTTCTACATCAGCTGCTTTTTCCCTTTTCACTGTACTCCTTGTATGTGACCATTTTCCAAGGGGTGTTTTTTATTTGCTGATGTGCATAACACTGGCACGTACAAGGCCCTTTTTTTTAGCCTATCACAATAGCACATCTACAAAAGAAGTCAAAGATAGCACAGTTTGACAGGCATAACATTGCTCCAGAAAGGGGATTGCTAGTTAGCTATTAGATGAATAATCTCAGCATGGTGTGCAGTGTGACTTAAAAAAATGGAAAAATCTGGAAAAGTGGAGGACAAAAAAGACATGCCAAACCTAAAAAAAAAAAACTATCTACATTTCCTCAAGAAACAGGAAATGGTAAATGGTAAAATGGTAAAAATGGCCTGCATTTGTATAGCGCTTTACTTAGTCCCTATGGACCCCAAAGCGCTTCACACTACATTCAGTCATTCACCCATTCACACACACATTCACACACTGGCAATGACAAGCTACGTTGTAGCCACAGCTGCCCTGGGGCGCACTGACAGAGGTGAGGCTGCCGGACACTGGCGCCACCGGGCCCTCTGACCACCACCAGTAGGCAAACATGGGGTTAGTATCTTGCCCAAGGATATTTGGCATGCAGCCAGGAGGCAGCGTGGGATCGAGCCACCAATCTTCTGATTAGTGGCTGACCTGACATCTGGACCTTCGGTTGATCTATCTGCAGTTCACTGAAGCCTCATCAGAAATGGTCTCAGCTGGACTGAAAATCAGTGGCAACAGGTCTGATGGAGCGATGAATCCAAATTTAAAAGTTATCTATATGTGGAGGTCATCAGGGGAGAGTCACAACAGTGTGTGTCTGTGGAGTCTTTAAAAAACTATTAAACACTTTTCTGTTTAATCGGGGCTATTTTTAGTCTGTTTTTCTTATTAATTGTGTTTTAATTGTTGTACAGCTCTTTGTGACGTTTATATCTGTGAAAAGCTCCCTATAAATAAACTTACTTACTCAACTTACTTTTTACTTACCTGAATAGAAAGACACACAGTGGAAAACTATGACTCATTGATTAGAGCATGAACCTCAACATTAATGAAGCTGCGTGGGACCATGTGGGCAGAGAACAGAACAAAAGGAAACCAACATCCAAAGAAGAGCTTTGAATGTCCTCAAGAAGCCTGAAGCTCAATAAATCGCTGCACCTGTTTCTCATCCCAGCAAAATGTAATGAAATAAGAGGTGGCTAAAGAGTATTTTTGGATGGCACACCTTACAAAGCAAGTGTCATTTTTTGTTAATGGACTTGGCTGTGGTATGATATGTGATAGCAGACCATCTTCCAAAGTGTACATTGGGTATTCCCAGGTCTCTCTGGATTCACTGGCTCTTGCAGGGAGTGGGTGTTGCTCAGTATTGCTAAATGAACTGTCTCAAGGTGTGGCCGCACCGCCGATCCCTGCACATAGTCATAAAATGAACCATGAGTTTCTATCACACCTGTCCTTCCTGAAAAATATAATTACGCTCTGCTCACACACAGGTGTCTAACAGATACTCCAGGGTCCTATTGTTGCATTGATACGGTCTCAGAAACTCACCATAAATGAGCCAAAATGAGGAAATAAAGCCTTTTTATTTTACACGTGAGAGTTTTACTTTGTTCGAAGTATAGCAAAAATCTATGTGACACATTTTAAGTATATAAAAAGTATAAATGTCTACAAAGAAACATTCTCATTAATTCTCTGAGTGTGATTTACCTAATGTCCCCTGACCTGTTCTACAATATCCCACTCAGCTTTTACTCATGCTGAATTTTAGGGACTTTGCTCAGTTAGTAGGGTTTTTAAAAACTTATCTATATATGAATTTCTTCTGAAATATAGGGCTATGAATTAAAGCTGACTAAGGTTGAACTCCTGCCCTTTGAGCTGTGCTTTATTAAACAAAGTAATTGTTTTAAAACCAAAGGTGTTATCTGCATATTGAAAAAGAAAAAAAAAGGTTCTAAAGTGGCCAAAATCAGGAACACCAGTGAAACAGGGAAATGAGAGATACTATGAATATGTAACCGCAGGCTATTAGGCCATAAGGCACATAGGCCTATAACACCTGCTTGTATGATGGCATGATTTCAGACTCTACGGGCGGTTATCAGGTGACGCTCGTGTGAAAACCAGAAGCTTTTTTTTTTTCCCTTTTTCTTTCTTTGAGCTCTGACCTCTGATATCCCTGTTACTTCCGCGTTCCGCTCACCTGTTACACCTGTGTTACTGCTACGCTCTAGATGCGACTCCTCCTCCTCCGCCGGTGCACCTGTCCTGCTTTCGTGCCATGACCGAGGACTTCGAAACGTGTGATTTAACATGCTCGTCCCCATCGGGTGACCCAGAGGAGACTCTAAAAGCTAAAAGCTGGAGCATGGAGTGCGAGCAGCCCATTTTCTCCGTGCTGGGAGGCGGAATGAAGCTGCAGAAGACAGTCGACGCTCCGCGGCCGACTATGAGCGGCAGTCCCGGAAAAACCTCACTGGCTGCGGCCACCTCCGACACCGAGTCCGGGATCTACTCTGTTGAGAGCGAGCTGTGTGTGGACCACGAATCCGAGCTGGACTGGTTCTGCGGCACCGAGCAGAAACTCATCTGCTCCCACTGCGCCACCGTGGGCTCCTGCCAGGGACACACCGTGACCCCTCTGGCCACCAGAGTCACCAGAGTCAGGGTGAGTCTCGGGCAGCCAAGCAACAGCTGTTTTAACATATTTCACTCATATGGGATTTAATAGTGATCATTTTCAGTTCAGGGGTGTATAGCTACAATAAATACACATTTTCACCCGGAATAATCTGCCTGCAGGTCTCCAAATGGCTTCAGGAAGGTTTCACTTTGTCTGATTGGAACTATTTTCTTCTACCATAAAATGACCTTTTTCTGACTAAACCTAACACAATACATGTTTAAAAAGTAAAAATACTTTGATTTAATTGAGTTTTTGTGAAAGATTTTGCCCATTGTGACTGAGAAAGTGTGGATTTTTATATTTCACCTACAGTTGTATAACCATAACAGTTATCCAGATAACAGTTATTATGAAACAAAGTGGCCCGGGTGTTTCCATATTTGTTAAGTTAATGTTTGTGTAGTTCTTAGGGCTTTTTTGGGAGTGCCACACTTTAAGTGGCTGATTCCTCTCAGCGGTATTTGAGAATACAGGATTTTCTTGCTGTGTTTCCAGCTGATGAATTCCACGTGGTTTTTAATGTGTTTTTTTTTTTTTTATTCCTGAACTGCAGACAGTGTGCAGCCTATTTAGGTTTTTCTTTTTTTCCTTTTTCTTATCAGGACAAACTGGTGGACGTTTGTGAGAAAATGCAGCTGCAGGCCCTGAGGATTGAGAGGTTTATCGAGCAGACACTGGCAGCCAAAGAGCAGAAGCTTCAGGTGATCCACACCCACCCAGGCTCACACACTCATGATGATCTCAGCATCCAAATGCTATAGAGCCTGTTTAGCAAGTGCATTGTGTTGACATTTGCTGGATCCTGTTTCAGATGTGATTTTTTTTTGGCCACGTTTTGGGTTTGTGTATAGTGATAGGAATTTCTACAAACTGCTATCTGTTTCTACTGATCAGTCAATTTATAAAAAAATTTTCTTTTACTATTAGTATAATATACATATATACATCAACTCTCTGAGCCCATAGTGAAGTCTTTATTTTGACTGTTTTGTCCATCTAAACCCAAATTATTCAGTTCACATTAGAGCAGAGAAACAGAAGCAAATCCACATATTTCAGAAAAACAAACAAAACTGGGACATTTCTTTGATAAATATGCAAACTAATTGATTATTGGTAAAATTTTCTTTGAATTTGTTTGCACGTAAAACAAAACTTAACATGCATTTACCCGTTTATTCCTTTATATGACCGTCTGTGTAAGTTCTATAAATATTAGGAGGCAATTATTTCTTTTCTCTTACAATTAAGTGTTAACCCAGGAGTATAATAATGAAAAGATAATGATAATATATTTTATAACATATGCTTCACATGGTTTAAAAGACTTTGATATAATCACTGACTTAAAAATATATAAAAATGTATGTATGTATAAAAAATGAAGACTGTAACAACAGAGATAGAAAAGAAAAGAAAAGAAAATAATTGAAGCATGGGGCAAGTCTTGCTGATTCAGTGCACGTAGCAAAGTCTGCAGCCTCTCTTAGCTTAATGGGTGATCAGGACAAGTCGTGCTTGTGCACTAAAGAGACCAAATCGAGCCTCAAGCAAACAAGAAAAGCCTGATAAGTGGAAAACTACCACCACACCTGAGCAGGAATCAAATGTTTCTGTAACAAAATAGCTTTACACA